ATACACACATGTTTTTTTTTTCAAATTTAATTTTGTATACTAATTAAAGAACTTTGATTAAGAAATGTCAAAACCCTTCTATAATCAAAATTTTTCTAATTTGCAATATAAGGATTTATAGTTTATTTAGCATACTCTGCAGTAAAAATATATTTACAATAATTTCTTTATGGAAAGAAATAAAAAAAAAATGATAAAAAAGATAATAATAGGTGCCAATAATATACAAATAAATTCTAACGAACAATTAATACATTTCAATTTTATTTTTTGACCATAATTAAAACTATTTAATGTATCTGGTCATTATCTCTTAAATGATAAATTATATTAATTTGAAAAGTAATTTATTTTTATATATAACAAAATAAAGCTTAAGAACAAATTATATTGAAAAATATTAATTCACCAACTTGATTTCATTTGATTAATTGGATGAAAAAATTCTACCTAGCCTGTCACGATTTTTTATGAATATTTTTTGGATAAAAAATGAATATTGTGAAAAAAAAAAATTAATATTATAGTTAGAACTTAAAATATATTGTAATATTTATCTTCACAAAAAAAAAAAAAAAATAATAACAGCTACCGAAATATAAGGGCAGCATTTAATAGAATTCAAAACAATGACTGCAAAAATTAATTTTAAATTTTCAACTGTAATTAATTTTGACTAAAAAAATTAAAGATGCCAACCAAGACAATTTAAAAATATCCAAACGATTTAGAGGATCTTGCTGTTTCTTTTATATCAATTATAGTTTTATGAAAATAAATAAATAAATAAATAAATAAATAACAACTGCCGTAATATAAGGCAACTGAAATGGTTTTGACCACACTTTTCCAAGATTAGAAAGTAATTAATGCTAAATGAATTTGACCACACTTTCACCTGCTATTTCTGAAAAAAGATTAATCTTTATATATATATATATATATATATATATATATATAGATAGATGAGTCTGAATGCGACATATAATACTACCTCCTGTTCATTATAAATGTCGTTTTGACTTTTTTTATTCATTCATTTTGTTATGTATCTAGACATTTTTGACTTTTTTGATTCATCCATTTTGTTATGTATCTAGACATTAATAATGTCTAGATACATAACAAAATGGATGAATCAAAAAAGTCAAAACGACATTTATAATGAATAGGAGGGAGTACATGACAAATAATAAAGAGGTAATCAACAACTTGTTTCGTAAAACTTAAAATCTTTAGTTTAAAAAAAAAAAAAAAAAAAAAAACTTGTGATATTGACAACTATCTAATGCTTGATACAAATTCATCCAAAAAATCTAATCATTTTTAACTCAACCATTTTTTTTTAACTCAACCTACTATCATCAATATTATTAATATAATTAAATAATATTAATCAATCATCATTACACATCACATCAATCTTAATTCATTATTTATCCACTCACATAATTTTAACTAAAAATCACATCACATCATCCACTTTTACATCAAAATAATTTTAATCATTTTATTTTAAAAATTATTTTAATATACACACTAACTACTAACCATACTAACTTTTTTAAATTTAACCAACTCAAACCAAAAAATCAAATCAAAACCAAAACTTTTTATATCCAAGGTGTGCTTGGATATAAATTTTAGATTGAATATTTTGATTTTGATTAGTATTTTTGGTTAACCAAAGCTAATTCTTAAAAAGTTAGTTGAGTTAGGTTTGAGTAAGATTTTCAATTTGTAATAAAATAATTAAAATTGATTTGATGTAAAAGTATGTGATATCGTGATTAGAAGTGATAGATTGATGTAAAAGTATGTGAGTGAATAGATATTGAATTAAAATTGATGTGACGTGTAAAGATGATTGATAGATTAATATTATTTAGTTATATTGATAATATTGAGAAATGTAGTGATTGAGTTACATTTCAATTGTAATTAGAGTAATACAATCACAACTTATATCCAAGGAATAATTTACTAGTTAAACTTGTTGCAATGGTTACATGGTGTTCTAGTAAATGTGCTACATGAAATTGCAATTTTTGTTCCATATGCTATTGACATTTGACAGCTGAAATTTTTGTCACTACTTTTCCGTCGAGTTGCGATTGTCGAAAAATTGGAATATTTGCTATCGGCGACGAGATTCGATTGATGATCGGAAAAAACAGTTAGATTCTTCAATCAAAAGACTTTTTGTACATATATTTTTATGAACACCAAACAACAAGATCTTCAGTAACACTATCAAATTTTAATGTACATATTGGTTGAAACATTTAGAAAATTTCAATATCGATTTTGATAAATTTTGAGATGATATTGTATAATACAATTGAAGGTACCGTTAGATAGCGGGTCGAGAGTTTTCAAATTGTAATTATTATTTATTGAGATTTTCCACAAGAGGCGGAGGCGGCAAGTGGTGAAAACTCTTAAGGCATGATTAAATACAAATAAATTCGCTTAAACGAATTTTTTTATTAACCATGGTTAATTTGAAAAAAAAAAAAAGTGGTATGATTAGTTATTAGTGAGATTTTAAGTTTTATATTAAAATAAAATTAAAAAAAAAAAAACAATTAAAGTTGATTTGATGTAAAAGTAAGAGAGATATGATGTAAAATGATGATTAATTACAATTATGTGAGCGATGTGATGCGTAAGAATAATTAATTGACATTATTAATTATACTGATAATATTGAGAATAGTGTGTTACATTTGAGTTAATTGAATATTTTTGTAATCAAACACACCATTGATTTTTAACGACTTCCTATGAAAAGTGATATTTTTGAAGTGTTGGACCAATGAGTCTAGAACTAAATAAGCTAGCTTATAGCTTATTTGGTTAGCTTATAAGCTTCTTGTATTCAAATAAGCCCCGTTTGGTAGGACGAGCTTATTTAAAAAGCTCGAGCTTATTTGATAAGCTTGTTTAGGTAGCTTTTCAAATAAGCTAGTTGAATTTCTTATTCCAGCTAGCTTATCAGCTAATTTTACCAAACACTTTTATCATATAAGCTAGCTTTTCAGCTATAAGTCATAAGCTATAAGCTATAAGCTCGAAAATTACATATAAGTCATAAGCTAGCTTATCAGCTATCAGCTAGCTTATCAGCTAGTTTTACCAAACATAGCCTAAGGCTATGTTTAGTAGACCAATAATCTAGCTTATAGCATATTTGATTAGCTTATAAGCTCCCTGTATTTAAATAAGCTCTGTTTGGTAGGACGAGCTTATTTAAAAAGCTCGAGCTTATTTGATAAGCTTCTTTAGGTAGCTTTTCAAATAAGCTAGTTGATTTTTTTTTTTATTCCAGCTAGCTTATCAGCTAATTTTACCAAACACTTTTATCATATAAGCTAGCTTTTCAGCTATAAGTCATAAGTTATAAGCTATAAGCTCGAAAATTACTGATAAGCTATAAGCTAGCTTATCAGCTACCAGCTAGCTTATCAGCTAGTTTTACCAAACATACTCTAAAGCTATGTTTGGTAGACAAATAAGCTAGCTTATAGCTTATTTGGCTAGCTTACAAGATTTTTTAAAAAGCTTGAGCTTATTTGATAAGCTTCCGTAGGTAGCCTTTCAAATAAGCTAGTTGAATTTTTTATTCCAGCTAGCTTATCAGCTAATTACCAAACACTTTTTATCATATAAGCTAGCTTATCAGCTATCAGCTAGTTTTACCAAACATAGCCTAAAGAGATATTTGGGTATTAAGGTCGTGCTTGTTTACAAATATATACGCTCAAAATAATTTTATTTTTCAACTTTAGTTAATTTTGAAAAAAGTGGTATCATTGGTTGTTAGTGGAAATTTAAGTTTATATTAAAATAATATGAATAAAATTGAATTGATATAAAAGTAAGAGAAAAAAGATATGAAGTAACGATTAATTAAAATTATGTGAGTCAATCAATAGCAAATTAAAATCGATGTAATATGTAAAAATAATTAGTTAACATTATTCAATTATATTAATAATATTAAAAATAGTAAAAATTGTATTAAACTTAAATTAGATTTAAGTATAAATCGAGTTATTTCACATACTCAACGTGAAATTTCCCTTTCATTTTGTTTTGAGATCAATATCAAGCCAAGCGGGTTCACGGGTATCACGAGGACCCGAGACCAAAAAACGGAGCCCGACCCATAAATTTTCAAAATTGCGCTTTTCACGCAAGCCCCGAGAAAAAAACAGAAAGGCGATCTAATGTACTATCCGTTGCCATTTATAACGAAAACTGAAA